AATTGTGCATCATAGCACTTTAAAACAAGGACCCCCCACCCCCACTGTCCACCTATGAAGTCTCTCTCTATGACGTAGAGGGTGTTTATGAATATGTGTGGTGAATGACACAGTTGTCCCAGACATTGTTTACAATGCGATGGAAAAAAAAAAAAAGAAGAAAATATTGTGTTCCCTGTCACAATTTGCTGTTAAATAAAATGACTGTCCTTAAATCGACTGATGCAGTGTTCTGTGCCGAAGGTTATACTGTGTTTTTCCCCCCAGCTGCTTATCACTGTATTTGCTTTCAAGGTTCAGCAGTCGTCTGACAGAACACAAAAGAACTGACACTGCGTTTTTTTTTGTGTGTGCCCGTAATAGTGCTGTGAAAACTAAACAGCAGGGCGATGTTTTGAAGACTGCCAGGATGACATTGTGGCTCCTCGGGGCAGAGGAGGAGCAGCTGCCATGATTCGCTGCCTCGTGGAGCCACCAGGTGTCAGTGTGGGGTCGCGGTAGAGCCCGAGTCCTGCTGCTGTGGAGGGGAGTGGGGAGAGTGTCAGAGGCGCCTTGCACTACAGGTGTGTGCTAAGCTTGGGTGGTGTGGCAGCAAATCACGCGCTCTGATCTCACTCCCTCAGCTATCTTTTTCTCAGTCGTGCTCGCTTTTGTATCTCCAGCAGCTACGGAGCTCGTACACCAGCACGCATCTCACTCACCTGTGATCTCAATGGTTTCACTTGATAGACACGGTCTCCGTTAACTTGCACGATAAGAAGGTGGAAATGTGTTTTTCCTGTGGATTTCACCTCCTGTTTTGGGTTTTATGTTTCCTGCACGTTTTAGTAGAACTGATGTTGTGACAGGGGTTTATTCATTATTAATCCTCTGCTGTTTTATGCACTCAACATTAGTGCTTATGGCTTTAGTTTCCAGGGTGCTGTTTCTCAGCACCCTGCAGCAGTATAATTACATCATAGCACCTTCATATACCCCTGCATGCACACACACACACACACACACACACACACATAGCCAGCACACACTCCTGCCTGTCTGTATGTCGCTGTATTCTGATCTTATTGCAGCCAGAATCAGATTTCGTATTGAATGTTGTGCCTCTTTCAGAGACTCCTTTCATCAGACTATCTACTCCAGTGTTTACACACACAAGAGATTAGCCGAAGGCTCAGTTTACCACAATGACAAGACTTTGAAATATAGAAATGAGCACCAGCCACTGTTCTTCTGCTCACTTAAATCCTTTTCATGTGTCATGACTTAAGCTTCCACCGTGAACTATTATTAGTCTTTTCTTGCTTTCTAGCAAGAGGAGGGGAGAAGGTGGAGGAAGAGGTAGTCTTAAGTTGAGCTTAAAGGGAAAGAATGATGGAGAGGGGAAAAAAAAAAGGGAAATCAAGAGGTGGAGACGGTAAAGGACCATCGACAGAAGGAGCACAGAGCCGGAGGAAGGGAGGGGACGGTGGTGATGTGTATATAGGTCACTAAATCAATGGGAATCAGGTTTTTGAAGGGGAGAGAAGGGGGTATTTATAGATACCAGTGGAGACAGATGCATCAGTGACAGGCACAATGTTGCTGGGAGCACAGGGGTGGGGTTGGGGGGTGGAGGCGAAATCTGGGAATAGACTGTGGTCAAATTAGTCTGCGGAGAATTCTCCTAACAAATGGCAAAAGATTCTCAGTAGTGAACAAATAGCATGGAGCGCACTGCAAAACAAAATATAATCAAATGGAAATCACTGCAGGATGCTTTGAGCAAATGACCTTCCCGGCTCTATTGACAAAACGCAGGCAAACCGCACAGCATTTGCATCTACAGTACAGCTCTACTCATATCCTATTGAATTTCTAATCGGTGATATCAGAGCGTCACGTGATTGAACGGAGTATTAGCTTTCTGTTTCGCAGGCTTGTAAGAAAAACCTGCATATTTATTACACCGGGAGCCACCGGAAGACCGTGGAGTACAACAAAACATCACAGGAGACACCGTTAAGGTTTCACGACGGAGGGAATCGGTTGATCAGTGTCCATTTAATGATTTTCAATTCATTATCATAGATTAATTACACAACTTCTGGGTTAACAGTGACTGCCAAGTGGCCCACGTGTTGATGCGGGCTTCATGCTGTAGTGTTAATACTGTCATGGCTTATCCCATTTATTTTATAATGCTCCATGTCTCTGTCTCCCAGCTTCATGCAACAAGAAGTTCCATCGCAAATTGGAAATTTGCTCAGAGAACAAGAAGAAAAATAATTGGAGAAATAGTTTTAAATTGCTTTCTAACTGGGTTTTTCGAGGACTAAGTCAAGGTCATGGACAAACTGTTCCTTCTCCACTTACAGAGCTGCCTTTGTGTGATGTAAGACAGCCTGAATACTGAGCGGTAAAATAATCTACATCTCATTTCTGCATCTAATTTAGGGAGTATTTGCATAGCAGCCACATCACCTTGCATCACAAACTGGCAGAGGACGCACACAATTACTCCTCGAGAGCTCTTAATCTCTGCCCTACGCCTAATAATGTGTTTAGTAGACTCGCGCAGGACGGTGTCCTACATTGTCCTGCCACACCATATAAAACAGGGATATGGATATGCGGCAGGTGGGGTGAAGTGACAGGACCAGATGGGTTCCAACTTCTCTCGCATTATATCAATGTTTACTGACGGAGAAGCAGAATTTTCAGAGGATTTAACAAATTGATCCATTAAAATGTGTCAGTCAGGCTGCAGTATGCTGTTGCTTTAATGAATAATTTGTCATACTGATGTCGAGGAAAGCAATTACATATATATTTTCAAGTACTTTACTTGAATATTTGTATTTTTTGTCAGTTTAGCGTTCTACGACTATAATCATATGTCAGAGGGAAATATTGTGCTTTTTACTACTCGACATTTATTCATAAGTACTGAGCTGCAGCCCCATAAATATAAAATGACTAACGATTGTTGTAGATCAATCTGTAGATTATTTTTTCAATTGATTATTTCAATTGTCATACAAAAATGACAAGCATCTATTACAGTCTTATCCAACTTACCCAACTGTACCATTCGGTTTACAGCGATATAAAACAGGGAAAAGCCTGAAATGTTATCACAATAGCTAATTTTCTGGCAACCTGCACTATTTTACATATAAAACTTATAATCATGTCACAAAATGTCATGTATTTTTTGAAGGGTTAAGCACATCAGCCAGGTACAACATAAACTCACTACTACAATACTCACTTGATTTTGGAGTAGTTTGTCTCGTCTACTCTTTAGTACACTTTAATTTTGCATCTGCCTCTTGAGACTAATACATTGCTAAGAAAATTTTATTATATAGCCTATAATACAGCCTTCTGAGAGACTGAATTTCTGCATAATGAGTACTTTCAGTTCTTACGGCTGCAGGCGAAAACCATGTTTTTTCATGCACTGGTCTATTTTCAGCTTTTTTTTTTTGCTTCTCTAACATGTCTTCTTGCAGACTAGTGGAAAGAAAACATCCAAAATACACAATTGGGTGTTCATTTAGCTACTTTTTGTATATTTGTGGTTGTAGATTTCAATCAAAAAACATATCTTTAAATGCCATTTTCTCGAAAAGATTTTTTTCCTGCACACTTTGAGCGAGAAATCTACACTTCAGTCACACAAACATACACCAGACTCTCCAATTGTACTCCGATCTGTATTCAGAAGGTTTTTTTTTACAGAGGGGTTTGTTCACATACCAATAATAGTCTGATTTATAGGACATTCATTCCTAAAAGCAGGGCGAAAATTGTTTTTTCTCCCCTGGCTGTTGACAGTATTTTCTGATTTATAGACTGCTAAAAAGAGATATTCCCCAAATTTCATATCAGTAAAAAAAAAGGCTTTAATATGTCAACAAAATGAAAGAAGAAAGATATAAAGACTTATCTTTATACCTTCAAAGTGAAATGGTTACTGTTTTGTTCTATTCAACTAAGTCGCTCACAATACAATACACAGAGTTAAGGCTGCCAGATTTCGGGTAACCCTGATGTCTCCGATGTAAACTTTGACCTTGCTGGATTATAAACTAATACACAACATAATGACTTCTAGAGGAGATCCCAAGATTTTTTTTTAAAGATACCTGACACATGAGTCGCAGTTTTAGGAAAATGCATGATTATCCATTTGAAAGTGAAAGTTTAAGGGAGGCTTTAATGAGTTAATGTGACCTTAGCAGGCTTTTAGTCATAGTATTTGTTTTTATGATCAGATTTCTCTTCAGGAAATGAATCCAAATTAGATAGGGAGAGACTCATTAGCATATTTAAACATTGTATTTCAGGACAGGTGCTATGAAAAAAAAGTCTTTATGTAAGTAATCAGCTGAGGAAGTTTCTTGTTGATACCCTATTCACCTGCAGTGTCCTGTCTTAATTAGACCCTTTACCTTAATTAAGTGTCATTTTGAATGCTTGTAATTTACTGCTTTGCTACTTTTACTTCGTTAAAAAAAGAAGAATCTGTTAAAGAGATTAACCCATGTTGCTGGATCCCATCGCCGCGTGCGTCATTACGCGCGAGGCAATATTTCAGAAATGATAAATGGATGCACAAACGGAATCAAGGATCGCACATGGCAGCAGAGCAAACAGGCTGAGGAGACTTTACACAGCTGCAAAAGTCACTTTCCCCATTTTGTCCTCTGAGCCACAGTGTACGGTGGTTATTAGAGAGAGAGAGAGAGAGAGCGAGAGAGAGAGAGAAGGAGGCAGAGAGAGAGAGAGAAGGAGGGAGAGGAGAGGAGAGGGAGAGTGTCTAACTGGTTAGCCTACCTATCCACTAGGAGGAGAGGAGAGGCTGCTGAGGAGCAACACAACAATAAACAGCTACTACTACGAAAAAAAGAAAAAAAAGAAAAACCACCCCTCACATCAGCGGAGTTCACGACACACGCCAGAGGAGTACCAACACATCAACGCCATCGCATCTGCCTCGGAGTCAAGTCACAGCCATGTATCTGAACAGGGAAGAGGACAACAGCAAAGGTAAGATCCTGTCAAGAATTTGCCACTCTTTTCTTTGTTGCGAAGAGACAGTTTCAAGGTGTTTCATCCCTGACCTGCTGTTTCCTCTTTGGAGCCGAATAGGTGGAGGGATGCTCAGTCTCTCACACACCCCTTGATCTCATTTATCATTATTATTAGTAAAAGAAAAAAAAAAACAGGCTCATCCTTTTGGCATGGTGAAAAGTGTGGGCTGTCATTATGTAATATCAGTGCAGTTAATTGCCTCCTAGGAGGATGCTTATCTTTAGCCCGATCCTTTTCTTTTTTTTTAAATGATTTATCCAATGCACCGTGCACAATCAATAGTAAACCTGTTGTAGACACTTTGTCAAAATGCATGCATGCATTTTTTGCAGGTGTGCACTGCCCTGTGTGTTGATGATGTTATTTTTAAATCCCACTTAAGGGCAACATAACACAAGGTCAAAGCCTTTAGCTACAATGAAACCCAAGTAGGTTATTAATGGTGCTCCACAGCGTCCGACATCCTGCAAAAAAAAACACACTAACGACACGGGCTGCAGCTTATTGCTTCTTCTCGGGGAGAGATAACCGAGCAGCAGCAGCGACACACACACACACACACACATAGAAAGAGAGAGAGAGAGGTAAAGAGGCTACAAAGGAGGAATATTTGAGTAATCTCTCCCACGTGTTTTTGAGGCGTGATTTCTTCCTCTCATCGGGCGCCCAGAAACACACTCGACTCGCGTCCCCCTGCTGTTACCACGAAGCATAAATAACTCTCCGGGGCTCAGAGGTTATGCTAATTACCACCTAAATCTTCAGGTTATACGAGAATAACACCTGCTGCTACCGAGGACCGGAGAGGGGAGGAGGAGGGAGGTGGTGGAAAAAAAGAGCAAAAAAAAAAAAAAAGGCAGAGTGGGAGGTGCCGTGTTTTTTTTTCCTTTTTCATTTCCCCATGATGTGAGATAATGCGATCGGACCACAGCATGATACTGTACCGGGATGTGTGTGCAAGCAGCATCAACAATGATGCAAGTGAGATGAATGTGTCACAAACAATTTTGGGGGGATGTTTAGAAAAGTGGCAGCGTTAAAGCCGGGGTAGGCAGGTTTTTAACATAAGTTATGTTATGACCTTTCAGCCTTTTGTTGTTCAAGTGGTCTGAGAGGAAACTAGAAATCCTCTTGGCTCTGTTTACAGGCTTTAGAAAAGCTTGATTGAAGGTTTCAGCCAATCAGACAGCTTTTCACCTTGGCCAGGTGAGCAAGTCTAAAGAGCAAACAAGCAGACTTTCACCCAGGTGGGCAGGGTTCAAGTCCACTTTGAAGCCACAAGTGGTTATGACTTTGACATCTTGTTTCCACTTAGTTTTGCTTCGGGAAAGAGACTTGGCCCCCTAGTGTGAACGCAAGGAAATGCAGGTGGAAGGAAACTTCACAGCAGCCATGAAGAGAGAGAGAGAGAGAGAGAGAGAGGCTTGTAGAATAGATCTTTATTGTTGTACTGCTCTTGAAATCAGCATCATTAAAAAAAAATTGCAAAAAATATGCTAAGAAAGAGATGGCGCTGCAATAAACGAAGAGATTACTGTAATGAACACATTTGAGGTAGTAATCAGACGTAATCACAAGTCATCATCCAGTATTATGGAATATGTGCATGGAGCATGACTGCCACTGAGACAGCACCGATATTACACAACGAGATATGTATGGGGGAGGAGGATATTCTGCCACGTGTGGAGCCAGTTATGTGAAGTATTGTGCTCCAAGACATATTAACCACTAGTGCATGTGTTAAACTAGCTAAATGAGTGTCTTTTGTAATTATACATTTATACAGTTTGATCGTCAGCATAGTCAAACAACTCAATCGCCTATTAGCTAACTTAGTTTTCCAAGTTAACAGTTTGGTTTCTCCATAATCCATTGCAGAAGTGGGGGGGATGGATGGAGAAGCTTTGGAAACACATTGGCCGTCACAAAGATGGTGATTGTATGATAAATGTCCTGCCCTCTCCTTTAAACACCAACCATCTGCTCTGTAACAGCAACTCAGGAAACAGCTCACTAGTCGTGTTGCTGCACTGATGCGAGCTCAGTGTCCTGTTTGCATGCATAGGAGAAGATCACCTTTTTGGACAAAGTTAACAAACTTTTTCAGCGGTTGATCCAGATTAGACTGATGATTACTGCGTTACCAAGGTGGCCACCGAGTGGAGCTACTCACTCTGGAGGGATTTTATGTGTGGCTAACTCTAGAAATTTTAAAGAAAAGCCATTATAAAATCTGACCTTAAACATGTGACTGAGTGTCAACACAGATGTTATTTTCAGTTGTAACAGTAATCTTTTTGTTAATCGTCCACCTTTTAAGATTCACAGTGATACTACATTAAACAAACTGAAATACCATAATCCATTATTCTCTTAAATTAGTTGCTAGTGAGTTTCCATTTAAGCGATATGGAGTTGTTTGTTCGTCTTGTAAGTGGAGAATATTTTGGTTTTACAGCTGTGATAGGATGGGAGTGGACATGATTTTACTTGTCAAGCCTTTTTACAGTGAACTTTATAACAGAACTCCCACTCTTTTTTAGTGATGAAAAACTGAAAAGTATTGATAGATAAGGGTGAGAAGCACTACAAGTCAGAACCGTAGTGCCGTTTATGCTGGTCTACTATTGTACTGTCAGATCCTTGATGAGCTCCATTGAGTGTTAGCAAGAGAGGAAGGATAGCTAGGTGTCCTCTTCAGGTCAAAACTGAAACTCTGATGCTTGTTTTATGATCAAGAATGTGTTAAATTAATGGCGCCATCCGCCTCGTTTCCATGTGTAGTGCGAAAGAGCGAACCTTTGCCTGCTAAATTAAGATAGTGAATATTTCCCGCCAAACATCCGCGTGCTATCATTGTCGTTGTGAGCATACTAGAACGATGACATTGAGCCCCATCTTACCAACTCACACAGGAGCTAACGTGGCCGGCACGTCTTCTGCAGAAGGAAATCTCTGGAGCATAACAGACTCTACAGTGTGAAGGACTTAATGGCCCTGGAGGTCATGCGGGTCAGCAGCAGGTGTTGGATGAGGAATTAGAATCAGAGCAGCGGTGTGAGCTGCTGAAGTAATGAAAGGAAAGCATTGCAAAGTGAGTGTAACTGAAACCATTTGTTAGACCTGGTGGCTTTGCAGCCGGGGGTAAGACAAAAAGGCCGTTTCCAGGGATTAATGGACTGCCAGTAAAGTTGTAAAGTTATGAGCAGGCTGACTCTGAATGTGTTGAGGCTACTCTTCACTCTTCTAAGTAAAGAACTCAGCACTTGACTGACGGCTTTAATTGATTCACCTAAGCAGGTGTTTCCCTCACTGCACTGCTGTGGCCTTTAAATTCACACCGCGTCTCAAGGTGGAGTGGCAGGGCGAGGGAGAAAGGTCTACCAGGGACATATTGATTATGGCCTCAGAGGATTAAAGGAGGGGGAAGACAAACAGGTTGATCATATGTGAGCCTGACAGACTGTCGCCTACTGTCCAATAAACATCTGAAATAAGACTGAATCTGGCCTTCGATCAATACTGAACTTAAGAGAAAAAAAAACAACTAAATGCTAGAAAGGAAAAAGGAGTGAATGCCGGGGATAATGCAACACCCTGTTGCTGTTTCCTCAGTATGACAGCTAAGTAATCAGTCATTTATACCCTCTGCAAAACATTCAGCTACTATTTAGACTACTGAGGGTCAAAATGCCGCATTGTGAGTTCCAACAGGATTGATTGCTGACCATCAAAAGAAAACTTGGGGATGTTCACACCATCCACTCCAACTTTTCTTTGTCATGGTGAAAATATTACTAAATATTTAATGACTTTAGAGTGCTTTTTTTTAAGATTATGTTTGTTATTTGCAACTTTAATCAGTAAAATTGTCACAAAGCGAAGCACAACAGAAACAAGATTCCTATTTGTCCTTGGTGTGGCACTCATCACGTCGCTGCTGCTTTCGGCAACAGGAGGAGTTTACTTTTTGAGACCAAACGCTTTAGGGCAGAGGCAGGATAAACAGCGTTTCAGAGTAATGTTTATGAGCTCTCAAACACTAAAGATAGAAACGGTTAATATTTAAACACAGAGCAAATGCAAGCTCATGCATGATGACACGAGTACTTCTTAAAGAGCCCATAATATACACGATTACAGGTTCAGAATTCTATTCATGGGGTCTACTATAGTATGTTCACATGCTTTAATTTTCAAAACACACATTAAATTTCTCATATTGTACATTGCTGCAGCATTGCTTTTCACTATATGTTTAAAATGCTTTGTTTAAGCTGCTGTTTCTTTGAGGCCCACCTTTGCAGTAAGCCCAGTCTGCTTTGATCAGTCAGCTGGCCCATCGCAAGTAAAATAACAGCAAAGTTTGATTATCTGTAAAATAATGTCATTTTGAATAGTCGTAACTATGTAAAATTAAATTGTAGCTATTTTAAATGTCATGACTTGCTAAAATTTCTGTGCATGATGCTGCGAATGCAAAACTTCTCTTTGATATTGGTCCATCAGAACAGTGTTAGCAGAAGTAATTGTGCTTGCTGTGGTGGATAAGATCATTTGAAAATGCCGTGAAATAGGAAGAGCTTATCAGCAAAGAGTTTGTGGAGCATAAGAGGTTTGTTGATTCGAGACTTACCATCGAAAACAACAAAAAGGCTCTGACATGGCAGTAAAATCACATACGATGGTTGAAAAGCAACTTAATCATTTCACCAAGTGAAAACTCTATTTCAGGGTATCTGTAGTTATATTTTGACTTGTCATAACTCCAATTTGAGATATTTACAACATCATTGTTCATAAGCCCATAAAACTAGCTCTGACTTAATTTGAGATATTTACAAAACAATTAAAGAATTCAACTGTAGAGAGCTACGAGTGAATTATAAATAACTGTAATGAGGAAGCCTCATTCACATACATGGTTAAAATTATGTAATTTGTCCTGGGAT